ATACGCCAACATTTTGATGAATTCTTTTGAAGGGAAGTAACTTGTGACAGTAAATTTCTGTTATATTCGACATTAAAATACCTAATATTGAAGGGCTGGCATTTTGATGTTAAAAAACGAAAGGACACATTATACTGCTTTCATCCTATAACTGTTTTTCGCCGGTACTTTCATTGAATTTGAAAATGTTTATGGGAACAGTCAGACCGAGCTGAATTTTCTGGAATCTAAGGTAACTATGGCAACAAAGCCAGAACCTAGCTTTGGGATTCAGTACAATACATAATACATTGCCTGTGTCTTCGCATTCGGTTTCATGGAACAAAAGAGACGATTTCCCCACCGAGGCACCGCTCGCGCGCTTTTATTCGAAAATCTTTGAAGGTTGTTTCAACGTTGCCTTAGTTAAGCCAGTATGCAAGAAACGATTCATTCTATTGTAGCTAGTCACTGGCGTTCTATATATTTTACAATACACCCACTCAAGGAGAAACGAGGATATTGTGGTTTTACGAAACAATTTATCACTTTCGTATGTAGAAGAAAATTCAATGTTGATTCATCAAACAATTCAATCCTTTTGGTATTAAGAAGAATATCCAATGTTGTTTTATGAAACAATTCAAACCTTTGGTATGAAGAAGATATCCAATTTTGTTTAATGTAACAAGTCAACCCTTTGGTATGAAGAAGATATCCAATTTTGTTTAATGTAACAATTCAACCCTTTGGCATGTGGCATAAGCATCTACCGTAGTTTTATAAAACAATTCAACCCTTTGGTGTGAAGAACATATCCAATGTTGTTTTATGAAACAATTCAATTCAACCTTTTGGTATGAAGAAGATATCCAATGTTCTTTTATATAATAATTCAACCCTTTGGCATATGGCATAAACATCTACTGTTGTTTTTATGAAACAATTCAACGCTCTAATGTGGTTTTACGAAACAATTTATCACTTTCGTATGTAGAAGAAAATTCAATGTTGATTCATCAAACAATTCAATCCTTTTGGTATTAAGAAGAATATCCAATGTTGTTTTATGAAACAATTCAACCCTTTGGTATGAAGACGATATCCAATTTTGTTTAATGTAACCATTCAACCCTTTGGCATGTGGCATAAGCATCTACCGTAGTTTTATAAAACAATTCAACCCTTTGGTGTGAAGAACATATCCAATGTTGTTTTATGAAACAATTCAATTCAACCTTTTGGTATGAAGAAGATATCCAATATTGTTTAATGTAATAATTCAACCCTTTGGCATATGGCATAAGCATCTACTGTCGTTTTTTTATGAAACAATTCAACCCTCTACTGTTGTTTTATGAAATAATTCAACCTTTTGGCATGCAGTAGAATATCCAATGTTGTTTTATGCAACCATTTAACCCTCTTGGTAAGTGGAAAATATCAAATGTTGTTTTATGCACCAATACAACCCTTTGGCATGTGGCATAAGCATCTACTGTGGTTTTTGTATGAAACAAGTCAACCCTTTGAATTGTGAAAGATATATCCACCAGAATCATTAACGAGATTTGGATTTGTGTTCTCAACAAATAAATCCGAAACTATTCTACTGGCAGCTTGAGTAGTCCCTACAGTACACAACTGTAATTTATCTGTGGACGCTATCTCTACTACTAACACCACATAACGGTATCACAGAGTAATGCAACTGTCCCAACCGTCCACGGGGACAGGCGACGGTGATAACTTCAAACTGGGTGGCAGTTCTATAAGCCTATACATTTGTTCTGATTTCCCCCGTGGGCGCGTAAACAAGTCCAGGCCTGGAGGTGGACAGCTCAGGATATACTACAGGCTGTATGTTATTCGGAATAAAGACCTTGAAAACAAACACCTTATAACAATTGATCAGACAAAGGGGATTTGACTTTGAGATGTTTTTCTCCAACCGCTAACAGCATCAGCCTCTGGTCGAAATCCCCTTGTTCTTCTGCCCATGCCGTTCATATCACTTTGTGTCGGAATACTGATCCATTTTGAAACTTTGTATTTGATAAGTTACTTTAGTATTGTTGTTAGCGATGATGCGCCAAGAAGATGGAGACTTAGGTATTGTTCTCCAATATGCTGGATGACGTAGAAGACGGCGAATTTAATTGAAAAAGAAAAGGAACCTGCTAAAACACATATTAAGCATTTTTGTTTTACATTTTCGCCCTCAGGGGAGAATTGGTTTCGATTTGTTCCCGTAGTTGTTGTCGTAAGCCATCGACCGTCTTACGTTCTCGGCTGCAAAAACGGCAATAGAGTTATACAACTCCACATTGGCTAAACTAGGTATATTGTCACCTGCTAAATGAGGTTTTGTATTACAATTTCCCTAAATGCTGGTTAAAGAACTTAGCGTGTTTTGAAAAGAAGACGAAATTGATTCTAGCTTTATTTCTAGCCGAACTTGTTTCGACCTAGCTCATGGTGTATGCTGTGACTGATCGAGTGTGTGAGTGAGTGAGTGAGTGAGTGAGTGTGTGTGAGTGTGTGTGTGAGTGAGTGAGTGAGTGAGTGAGTGAGTGAGTGTGTGGGTGGGTGAGTGAGTGAGTGAGTGAGTGAGTGAGTGAGTGAGTGAGTGAGTGAGTGAGTGAGTGAGTGAGTGAGTGAGTGAGTGAGTATGCATTTAACCGCCCGGGCGAAGTCGAACCAAACACTTCTGACAGGGAATCGAACCCTGGCTGTCGGTGTGACAAGTGAATGCTTTAAACACTAGGTTTCCCCACCACGCCATTGCTGACTGACCCGGGTTAGAATTGATCTTCAGTAACCTACTTGTCGTAAGAGGCGACTAATGGGATCGGGTGGTCAGGCTCACTGTCTTGGTTGACACAAGTCATCGTATCCCAATTGCGTAGATCGCTGTTCATGCTGTTGATCACAGGATTGTCTGGTCCAGACGTGATTACTTACAGACCGCCGCCCTGTAGCTGGAATGTTGAGTGCGGCGTTAAACAACAAACAAACGAGGTATTCAATCAGTAACACTACTAAAAATGATAGGCCGTGCCCAATTCCGTTAACCTCATGTTGGGAGCGAGACAGCAAAATATCACCAGTACCTCATATTTGTCATGGGAGCGAACTACTGCAGAGTGTAGTTGGCGAGACTGGTAACACTGCGGCAGAGTTGGAATGTCACTGTACTCAGTGGTGTGGATAGTTGGCCCCTCCCAGTCATCGGTTCGCTCAGTCCACGATTAATATCAGGCCGCCGTGGTTGATATATGAGTGAGTGAGTTTAGTTTTACGCCACACTCAGCAATACTCCAGCTGTATGGCGGCGGTCTGTAAATGGTCGAGTCTAGACCAAACAACCCAGTGATCAATAGCATGAGCATCGATCTATGCAACTGGGATTCGATGACATGACCTCCCGATCCTGTTAGTCGCCTCTTGCGACCAGCATGGGTTACTGAAGATCTTTTCTAATCCAGATCTTCATGTGTGTTCATGTCTTCACATGAACGTGGTGCCGGAGTTGTATAAATGTATCCCAAGAGGGTCTCCTTTTGTGTTATTTTATAAAAATTGGGGTTTATCTCACAACAATATATGCACATACATTTACATTAGATGGCATAAATCCAGATGACAGAAAAAGCAAGATACCGCCCTCGTGGTCAAGTGGATCCAGCGTCTTCCCGTAAGGTCCCTAGCTCAATCCAAGAGACATTAAAAACGTTGTTTCCCTGTTTGTGGCATGGATTTAAGGGGATAAAACGAGGAGTGATCGGATCGGGATCGGGATTCCATGCTAAACGGGCTTGTATCTCCACGGTATCTATAAATCTCGTAGCAAGACGGATACAAGCAGCCGCACACATATACCCACGTTCCCATGCCAGTGCAATAAAACTGAGGCGTTAGGTCCCATTTAACCTCACCTCTGCAAGAAAATGTTGCCACGACATTGCTAGAATTAGCCTGTATTGCACATAGGCGGAAAACACAGCAAGAACTTAGAGCGAGCCATGGGTCTCATGTACATTTTGCACATATAAAATAGCAGGAATTTGTGATAAACAGGCTTTTTAGAATACAGAATCAAAACGTCTTGCATGATTTAACCGATTCATCTCATCTCCTTCAGCTGGGTGGTGTGGTTAAAGAGACCGCTGCCAGAGTGTCATGATCTAGTCTTTAGGTTTGTTAGCTCCCTACCATGGCCATGGGTTTCAACAAAGTGTAAGGTGTCTAAGACCTGCGCCAACTTTCTTTCCTCTTAGAGAGTGGTTAAAGCGTTCGCTCGTCACACCGAAGACCCGGGTTCGATTCCCCACATGGGCACAATGTGTGAAGCCCATTACTGGTGTCCCTGCCGTGATTTTGCTGGAATATTGCTAAACGCTGCGTAAAAACACAGGCTGGTTAAACCCTTGCCCCCTCTACGCGAAGCCAAGCCAGCGAAGAGAACTTACACCAAGAAGCGCTGCCTGGTCGAACCCATAAGGAACTTTAAGGAGAATATGAAGACTGCCCAACAAAGCAGACACCTTCATTACCCAGAGTGTCAGAAGAGCTATGCTCAGGTGGCACTGTCCTGATCTGTGCCAAAAGATCAGGGGATGCCAAACTAAGGGCACCGAGAACAATGAGGAGTCTGACGACAGTGTACTTGAAATGCAAGCGAGACATTTCAAAGGCGAGGTCCGCACATTTATCATGCTTTTCCTGAATCTTGCCAGTCCCATTGCTGTCAAGGGGACAGCAAATTCAATGATACAAATAAATTAATTGGCTTTATCAAAAGGACAAGATTGGGTTTGTTAGCAGGAATTTGTTTTGGGCTGTGTACGGTCAATTCCAAAGAATTTTAAAAGCATTATTTTCCATGGCGCCCTGGATATGTTCAGGTTCATTGGTGGACCTCAAAGTCAAAGAGTCAAAGCCACAGGCATAATGATAACAATAACGAGCAATGCCATCATGCCCTTGTATTATTAGCATCATTAATATTGTTGTTACAGATACATGGTCACCTGTATAACAACGGCCACGACATCACACTGAGGGTTGCCAACAACTCCCACAAGGTGAACGTGACGGAGGGCCCACTGTCCTACAAGTACGTGGTCCAGCAGATCCGGGTACACTTCCACACAGAGGATGACCTGGGGTCCGAGCACACAATCGATGGCAAATCCTTTCCAGCTGAGGTAAGTCCTGCTATATCACTGGAAATCACTGACAGCTTACGATTTTGACGTTATTTAACTGCCTCCGGTGATGTTTCTGTTGAAACGTATTGACAGATTATTGACATGAGGGAATATCGTACAATAGATATCCAGGTCATGGCTCGTGGGAACTCTTTCAGCACGTGATGGACTCAGAGGTCAAGGTCACTGTATAAGTAATTACTGACGAGAGTGTGGTGTCACAATTCAGCGTCATACTGATGCTTTCAGTGAACACCCGGTGTCTCGTTCCTTCACGAGTCATTATGCATTTGATCGGCTCGTATTTCAGGTTCTTTAATCTAGTTCCTGAACCAATCTTACATGATTTTATTATGTAGATATATATTGCTTCGGTAATAAATGTTTCTTTGTGTCACTGATGTGGAAAAGAACAAACTGGTTGAGATCAAAACAGTGGTCACGGGCCATCGACACATGAGTCGGATCACACATTTGGCTTCAGATGGCAACCTCTGTACCAGGCTGTCTGACAAGAGGGATGATTTCGATTTTCCAATCGCGAATTCCCCTTCATGTGGAGCAATATACCATCAGCTCCGGCTTATGACGTGTACATTTCCCAGACGCTTCGGCGCTTTAGAGTATGTACAATTTTCACAAATTACCTGGCGTTAAGTCAAGGCTTCGCAGTGAGGGCTCTCTTTATACCATTCCAGAACTTTCATGGTAAACATTCATAGGAACCTGCCAGCATAATATCGTTTGTCAACACGATGCTTGGTGATACAACCTTTTCACTGGGACTTTACGCCTAATTACTCACTGGAATTTGTTTTGAGTGTGGTTGTGATGTACAGAGACTTGTCTTGTGTCGTGACATTGTTCCTCGGATCATCACTCTTGATGTCAGTCACTGGATTGTCTCGTCCAGATTCTGTTATTTGCAGGCCTGTTCGTACACACTCATGATCATTACTATAATCACACCAGTACTAGCGCACATGTATGTAAACGTCACAATTATATTGAGCATGGGTATACAAGGTGCATTTCTGGATGCGGTGGGAGGTGTGGTAGCCTAGTGGTTAAAGCGTTTGCTCGTCACGCCACCCGGGTTCGCTTTCCCACATGGGTACAATGTGTGAAGCCCATTTCTGGTATCCCCCGCCATGATATTGCTGGAATATTGCTAAAAGCGACGTAAAACCAAACTCACTCACTCACTCTGGATGCGGCGTTGGCCAAAACGCATAGACTTCCTTTCAGGCAGGAGTAAGTTGTATATACATATGTATTGCCACACTCTCTAACGGGTGACTGAAAATATGCATGCTGAATTGGTACCTCTAGAAGGACGTCTAGGCTAACATATATCCCGAATGGTTGGGGTAAGTTTCTTTAATAAAGATCTAGGGGAATACATTCACAACGTTACCTTCTATTATCGACCTCAAAGAGAAGATGCATGCGGTAACCGTAAATAAATTGTATCTTTATTTTCTACAAGATAAGGACCATATGTTTCTATCAGATTACAAAACAGGAAATCGTAGCTCTACCACTCCTATACCCTCTAATACTAAACACCGATGAATTGATTCTGATCAATGATATTCATTCTATGTGCATACGATCCATTGAAACCGCAAAACCCTGACATTGACGGATGTATCAGCAATATTTGCAAATTGCATCATTTAGAGATCATGCCAGAATATCTTAAAAAAGAAAAGAAAATACTCTGACAAATTGCACGGACAGAGTCCTCTGAGAGGGTATGTAAAGTTTAGATTACTTTTTAAATCAATTAAACTCCATACATCCTGAAACAGCTAAGAAGTCATCTGACTTGGTAAGAGAACAATTCTATTAGCCGAATGAACGGAGGCCAGAAAGCTTCGTCTTCCATCTAATGTGATTACTTTAAAAAGCGTCTCCCCTTGATTTATGCATTGTTTTATGTATTTGGACAGGTATAGAGCAGGGTATAACCCTTTTTAGCTGATCAATTTCGCAAACAGATTCAAACTTTGTAAAGAAAAGTTTCAACTTAACGTATTTGCTGTCAGAAAATGAAGTCCTTTCAGTCATCTCATAGATTCGTGGCAGGCAGTGCCATGATTGAGGTTTGGTGGTTCCTAATCTGTCGGAATTGTGAAGATCTGGTCTATAAACTGGGAGGGCCAGGACAAGACGTTCAAGGGCTGTAGTAGATGTCGGAGTGATGGAGACGGACATCGCATAATTACCACATTCCGATCTACAGGAGAAGGAGTTCTTCACCCTCTGGATCGATGAATACAGATGTTTGGACATAATAAGTTTCAATCTGATAGTAATCTTAACCGTTGCTACTTCATTAGATTTAAGGGGTGCTATAAAAAGTAGAAATCAAATTGGAACGGATACGGATCCGATCAGAAAGAGACTCTCATTTTGGAATCAAAATAAATGTGTTTTGTATGTTTTTGCGAATTCCTCTTCATTTATGTCTAACTATGGTTTCCGTGGTGAGAGCTTTCACAAATTGAATTACCTTCTGCAAACTGAACTTTCACAGAAATAAGAAAAAATCCGCATTGATCGAGTTTGAAGGTTTTGATGGGCGATGGAAAGGATATGGTCTACCTTTGATGTCGGCTAATTGGATGATGGGAGGTCGGGATAGGAAAATGGGGATAGTGTGAGTGTTTTGATTCCTCTATTGTTGACAAATGATACCTCTGCTGGGTGCAAATGATGAAGAGGGAACCTCCACTTGTGGGTGCGTCAGAAGCACACTTCATAGTACACAAGCCGTCTCAGTCTCTGGAAAGAAAACTTACAAAGACATATCTGTGTCATGACGTAGAAAGAAACGAGGCAGCTGGAGGCGCTCTTCGTCCAAAGGGCGACACTTGATCAGGAGTATTTGGATAAGAATGGGCTATCAGTCGCGCGTTTGGTGAAGAAACTGAAAGGTGTATGTGATATATTTGTGACTAAACGAGTAAAGTCGTATGTTTGTGCTCTAGAGGAGCTAACAGTTAAATCAATATCTTTCAAATAAAACCGCTGGCAGCGTTATGAGTGAAAGGTGGACAAAGAAACAACGGATGCTGGCAAATAGAACCATTATGGATCATCAGAGTGCATCATACGCCTATAAGATAGTTGATGGATAGCTTCTTGGGTAAATAGTTTACGGGAAGGTGGTTGGATAGTGGATCAATTTTGCATGAAGTTAATTCCATGCATTTTGTTTTCAGATTCAGATATTTGCCTACAACACAGACCTGTACAATAACATGTCAACAGCAAAGAGGTCCCCAAGAGGTCTAACCATCATCGCTTTATTTGCCCAAGTAAGTTGAAGGTTTTCAGAATGAAGGGATATGCCATGTAGAACTTTCACGAAAACGTATCATATTCCAAAACTAAATAGATCCGGTCAAAAAGGGTCAAATTACTGGATGACGTCATAAATCTACCTGATCATTGGTGGAGCAGGATGTGCTTACATTTTCACTAACATCTGGTGTCATCACTGATTTTAAGTCATCATTAATATCATGTTTCGCAGCAATTGTTCCTATTACGCCCATCGGAATTGGATGGCGGACAGATCGGTCATACCTTGTCGTTGATGTTTGATGTTTACATGAAAGAAAGATAACCATTTGGTATATAACAAAGTCATGGACTTCAGTTAATGAAAATGGTTTCCAGCGACAAGACGGCGGTAGGTATGGATTCGAACCCGGACCTTATCAGCTACGAAGGAGTGCACGTATCTGAGCATTAATGTTTCGTTGACGTCACAGAACCATGTAGTTCACCAACCTATGTATGTGTTTGGTAAAAGAATTTATCATTCAGTACGTTGTCTTTCATAAACAGTGAAACTTGATGAATGTCAACCTTGTGTAATATAATTAATACGACATTTCGGAGTATTTCGTACTCCTTCATCGTCAGCCTCATATTACATCCATGAATTTTCACCTTTTACGTGTAGCTCTTTAAAGTACCATTCAAAACTTTATTTGATTTCAGATATCCGAGAGACCACATTCAGAATTCGGAGTTTTACTAAAAGCCATGAACAAAACAAAATATAAAGGTAAGTAAGTTCTATCTGAGTAGCATCATAGCGGCAATGACATAACCTAGGTTACATATCACTGACAGAACCCAGGACAACTTCGAGGTGAGGTGAGGTGAAATTGGGTTTAACGTCGTGCTTGAGAATATTTCGCTCATATGACGACGTGCATGCGTGTGTATGTGTATGTGCGGCTGCTTGTACTAGCCCAGATTTAAGCTGGTTTTATAGTGCTAGCCCACTGAGATACCACGCCGCAGTGAAGCATGAATACCCCACTCAGACACATTATACCAGTCCTTGTTGTACCCATTAATGCCGAGCGCCAGGCAGGGACCAACAAGTACCATATTTTAACGTCTTTTGGTATGACGCGGTCGGGGATCGAACATGACGTCTTCGAAGCACTTGCGAGATGCTGTCTGAGATACAATTACTTCCTGGGATCAGGACCTCCAAAGAACGTTAACATAGTCGTGTCTGTCATCTTTGACCTGGACCAAAGAACTAACTTAATGACAATGCATAGTGGGGAAGTCATGAGAATCTGTGGATTCCGGGTAGAATTAATGTGTCCGGAATCCGGAATCATAAGGTCCGTTTTTTTCTGATTTAATGTTGTGGTTGACGGACAAATTAATAATGAATTTGGATAATGACTTATTGTGTCAGTTTTACTTAAAATACACGTTCAGAATAACCAGTGAACACTGCCTTATAAACTGCACGAATAGCAGTGTGACATAATCGTAAATGCTCCAACTCACTGTAGCAGAACCGTACCCGTTTCTGAAATCAGACATATAAAAAAGTATTACAATGAGCTCACCACCCCTGGTAAATTGTTTTTCAAACAAATCTACTCGTACATTCTAAATATATGTGTGCCTTTGATAATTGTACTGAGCTTTTGTGAGAGACGGAAAACTCATTCCATGCTGAGAAACCAGTTAATACAAAGAACAAAAAATTACATTCAGCTTCATGTACTGAAAGATGTAATCTAATGTTGTTCTTTAGAATGCTTTTAGCATTAGATCGATTCGGAAAAAAACAAAATGACTTTCTTAAGACATTACCTTTCGTCCTTTGCCTACAAACGGCTTCTGAGAAATTGAGTTTGTCACCGATGTCTCGGAGGACAAGAGTAGTCAATTTCTCAGAATCAATGTACTTTTTTCTCATTATTATCTGGGATTGTTTTTCCCGAAAGACTGTAAGGTAAATGTATGAGTTGAATTTCTGCAGATCTCTAAAACGCCTTTCCTACCTTATTCCGTGCTTCCCACGTCTGAAATCAAGGATATTCATGACATCATGCCGGGGAAGTGCAACCCAATATCTTTGTATTTGCAGAATATTCATTCCATTTTGCAAATCATTTGCAATAAGATTTTTCTTTAGGAGGCAATGCGAACGTTTTCATCTCGCATTAAGACGTTCTGCTTTCAAGCGAAATGATGTAATTATTCAACCAATTTAAAAGGTTATTCTAACCTTAACTTCAGTTATTTTGACAATGTGTATTTTTCCATTTAGACTGGTCAATATTCAGTTTTCACTTGTAAATGTAGTTTCATCTGTACCTATACCGGGGACAAAATAAGTATTTCTGAATGTTTGTAGTGAAGTTCGTTGTATTTCAAACTAATCCAAAGAGTGAATGTTAATTTACGCCACAACTATATTCTGGCGTTACGGCAGAGGTTAATAAGCGACTCGGAGTTAGGCAAGGTGCCACGCTGGTTGTGTCACACATTGTGACCACCCAATTCACATTTTGGTTGACTCTTACAACAAGTTCGGTGTGCTGAAATGACCCTACCAGTAACCCATAACTATTAAAGAATAACAGACTGAAAGTGCTGACAACAGGCTTGTGTTATCTCTCAATATTATTTCTCGGTGAAATGCTATCCTAAAATAATATTGTAAAGACGAAAAAGATAACCTATGTGTCTAAACACTAAGAAATATTTACATGGAATAGCCTCCTGTTATTTAGAAACGATGGTTCCAAAATTATCAATTAAATTGTTACCGGGGCTGCTGAATTGGTTTACTGAATTGTCTGGGAGATGAGGTGAAATGACGAACCATCTACATCCCTATACACCTATACATCTCTCCCCCCCCCCAAAAAAAAAGAAAGAAAAGAAAAAGAAAAAGAAACACTGCCCCCATATCCACCCTCACCCCTAACTCTAGCCCACACCAACTCCACCCCTATCCCAAACTCCATACCCACCCCCAAATCCACCCCATCTCCGACTCCACCACCACTCCAACGACACAGCCACCCACACTTCATCCCACCACCAGGTCCAGGCCAACACAACCGAGAGATAAATGGTCGTTCCAATAACACAACTTACCACGGATCTTATGCGTCGCTCTGCCTCTTAGCCCACCACATTTATAGCAGCCGTGACGTTGTCTGGATTCATTCTCTGTACGCTCATCTAGCTGGAATGAAATAAGTAGAACTCAACCCCGTTTCAAGTTTCCAAAGTGAGCGGCAAATATCTGCTCATGTTCAAATGTGAACCTGTCTGGCGTTTAACACCCTGCGCCCATCCAGGGATTTATAATGTCTTTTGCGTGACTGTGAACAGTATATCGTTTGATCCCACACATACAGGCTCATCCCACGCATTCATGGGTCATTTCATTAGAACAGACTGACAGTATCTTTCCTTAGTTCTTAGTCTAATAAATTCAAAATCAAAGATCAACGTGATTTCACACTGAAATAGAAATAGAAATACGACTTAAGGGCCCGGCGAGTGTCACGGTTATAATGTAACGGGTAATCTGCCTTTATTCATTGTATGTCACGGTAACTTGATGGTGTTGATCGTTGTTCATGATATCAATTATTGGTTACTCATACAAAGGTTCGAGTATTTCCACGCCCCCGTGAAATATTGAGATAAATAAGTGCAGCGTTACCATTACTCTCTTTGCAGTTGTTGCTGACCAGATAACGTTTATTCCTATTTTTTGTGAGGCGGATGAGGTGAAATGGGGTTTAACGTCGTGCTTGAGAATATTTCGCTCATATGACGACGTGCATGCGTGTGTATGTGTATGTGCGGCTGCTTGTACTAGCCCAGACTTAAGCTGGTTTTATAGTGCTATCCCACTGAGATACCATGCTGCAGTGAAGCATGAATACCCCACTCAGACACATTATACTGACTCCGAGCCGACCAGTCCTTGTTGTACCCATTAATGCCGAGCGCCAGGCAGGGACCAACAAGTACCATATTTTAACGTTTTTTGGTATGACGCGGTCGGGGATCGAACCCGCGACCTTCCGATCTCCGGGCGAACGCTCTAACCACTACACCACGGAGGCGGACCCTATTTTTGGAACAGATAACATTAAGAGCATCGAGAGATATTATTTCGTATAATATAAACTCATCTAGTCTGTTATTTAACCAAAGGTCATAACAGCCTGTTGCTGGTCAGAATTCGACATCGCCTCACAGATGTATAAACAGAGATCTCAACAAAGAGATGGCTATAAAAACAATATTTAGATACGATATTAAGCCGCGATTTATGTATACTGCTGAAGACATTACACATCCACAACCTTGGTAACAAGGATGGGCCCACCCATCGTAAGCATTGCAGTCTCGAGACAGATATCTTTGACCCCAATTCCCATGAATTACCACCTTGCAACGCCATAAACCCGTTAGCCAAATTTAATTTTCTGTCACAAATTTTAATTGTTGCAAGTTGTTATAAAAAAATGTATTGATGGTCCCTAAAAGCCCACGACTTGCATCACAGCGGGATCTCTCCTCCCTCCAACATCCATCTGCATCAATGTTTCAGGCGATGTGACACCAGTACGGGGCCTACAGTTGTCAAGACTTCTCCCGTCGACTGACAATTATGTCACGTACGAGGGTTCAATGACACATCCGGGTTGTTTTGAGACGGTCACGTGGTTGGTGTTAAATAAACCCATTCACGTCAGTAAAAAGCAGGTGAGATTATCTTTAGCGCCTTACAATTGACATTATCGGATCGCTAATGGTCCTATATTTTTTCTGGAAGGGAGTAGAAACACAGGTCATCAGAACGAAATGTCAGTGAACTGATCATCATTCGGTATGTCCGATCGTCGCAAACCTTTCTCCATTCTCCAACAATTTCGCCTGCGGTGGTTAGAGTTGCGATGAGCAATCAGAGGTGCGGCAGAATTTTGATCCGACTTTAAAGATGGCCGCCATATTTAATTTGTCATCTTTGTCAATCACATGAGGGGCGGTGGGGTAGTCTAGTGGTTAAAGCGTTGGCTCGTCACGCCGAAGACCCGGGTTCGAATCCCCACATGGGTACAATGAGTGAAGCCCATTTCTGGTGTCCCCCGCCGTGATATTGCTGGAATATTGCTAAAAGCGGCGTAAAACCAAACTCAGTCAGTCAGTCAGTCAGTCAATCACATGACCATATTTACATCTGTCATGATGTCATATTTTGCAGGAAGTATATTTATCAATTGCAAGTAAGTGAAGGACGTTTTATGCCGCTTTAGGCTATATTCCTGTAATATCAGGGCAGGTGGCTACGCACATTCTACCCACATGTGGAATCGAACCTGTGGCGAACGAAAGCTTAAACTATTACCCCACTACCTAAAATCAAATACAATAATATACATAATATTATGGTTTTGGACGCATGATAAGTTGTGTCCCTTTGTATCTATGTGTACTTATTCCGATACTCTCTACCCGTGAAGACCAGGGTTAGAATGAACCTTCAGTAACCCATGCTTGTCGTAAGCGGCGACTAACGGGATCGGGTGGTCAGGCTCGCTGACTTGGTTGACACATGTCATCGGTTTCCAATTATGCAGATCGATGCTCATGCTGTTGATCACTGGACTGTCTGGTCCAGATTCGATTATTTACAGACCGCCGCCATATAGCTGGAATATTGCTGAGTGCGGCGTAAAACTAAAATCACTCACCCAACTGTGATCTACTTTACCCAACTGTGTTGATTAACACAGCAATCAGCAATATTCCAGCTATGTGGCAACAGTCTGTATATAACCTGGATCATATAATCCAGTGAGCAACAGCATGAACATCGATCTACGCACTTGGGATAAGATGACATGAGTCAACAAAGTCAGTGAGTCTGACCACCCGATCCCGTTATTCGCTTCTTACGACAAGCATAGGTTGCTGAAGACCAATTCTAACCCGGATCTTCACGGGTGACCTAGAATAATGAAAGAGTATTGATGATAATACTGTCAATGGCATGTCATTACTATACGTGTATTATTTACGTTGAATGATTGGGGCAGTGTAAGTGAAACAGATCATATGACAACCCTAAACCATTGGCTGATTGCGCTCCCTTTGATAACAATGGAGGGGGGGGTGGGGTTGGGGTTTTGCACTGACATCATTTTCAGTATTATACGACCGGTTGCATTATACGATTATTGCAACCGACCATAACACACTATGACACACATTTCCAGCATTGTTTGACAGTGTTTTAATTGTTTCTACTTAAAAAAGATAAAAGGAGTTTGCGGACAGTAAATAATGTTATTGTTTTGGTCATATTTTATTTCTGCGACTGAATCACTCCACAACATCAATAATTCAGAAGGAATGTTTGTAATATTTGCTTTTGTTCTCAGATCGAGTCATTGCGAGTTTTAAACCAGGCGACGAGAGACAACCCCCGCATGCTGATGGCGGGGAACATCCGACCTCAGATGCCCCTCAACCAGCGCACTGTCCGCACCAATATAAATTTTGTATGTCCTGCATGTGAAACCTCACGTGTTGGTCAAATGATGCAATCTGACCGAACAGTAACTATTTTACGTTTTTTCTTTTGAGAATATGTCCAGCTGAGCCACATTAAACCAAATTGGGCACTTGCTGCATGTTCATAATAAAAACAAAATTCCCCTGAGCAAGTGTAATAGAGATCAATAAAGAATATTAAGGTAAAAGAAAGTCAGTTGTTGACAATGTCAAGCGTAGGGGTCAGGGCAGCACAAAGTATGATGAAATACAAAAGGTATGGTTATTTAGTCCTGTTTATATCAGAATGCATGTAGCAGATGCAAAGAGTTCATTAGGAACGACATCCATTACACGATCAGCAATAAGGTAATAAAACCTGTATTAGTCATCAATATTCGCTTATTGTATAAGGTTCATTTTATATATAACTTCTCTGGATGTTAATAGTGTCGGGATTTTACAAATTATTTTCTTCCGTTGCTACTGGTTGCTAGGTTTTCAACGTAAGAAAACCGGTAAATGTTCTGCGATCATTTGACGATAATCAGTTTCGTGGGGAAGGTAATTTAATTATTTTCCTAGAAACGCTACCAAAAATAGGTATCTAGTTTTATCAGAGCTCTCTAAAACCCCACAATATATCACAAGATTCCTATCACGTAACATTCCTGGAGTTGATCATGTTACATTGCACTAGGTGTATTGGAAACGGTAAACTGATTCTCTTGGAGAAACCAGCACTTGTGGCATTCAGAACTGGACATATTTTCAGTTTTTGTGTACTTACGTTCCTACCCATTGTAACGTGTCCAATAAATCGAGTGAATTTAAAGTAGCTGTAATTGAAAATCACTGTACTGGTAAAGCAGTATGCGTTTCTATTACTGGGTATAGCAATGAAGCCTGCTGGATTGCCCATAAGAAATAATGCTTGCATGTGGCGTTTTATTCCTAAATCCTAAAATTACGTTTTATTAGTGGCAAATCATGAACTGCATGTCCGCGAGCGGAGTGTAACGCTGCAACAGCAACAATAGAAACCTTGTGTGCTTGCTTTCATGAAATTGAATGAATTGTTGTTGTATTTTATTGAGATGAAAAACAATTATCCCTGGCCATCTGCTAATAAATCCTTGTGGAAAATTTGATTATTAAATCAACGCGGAAAATCAATTTCAATAAAGGCCAAGTAACTGTTGAGGTAGCCCTGCTGGGGGACTGGCGCAATTATTGCTTAACGTTGCAGCTTGGCATATATCCTTCAAATTTTCATGTCTTTGTAATTCATCCGCTGTGTTATTGCCTAACGACATTTCAATGTTATTATTTCAGCAATCGCGTAGCTGCTCAATGGGAAAGGATATGTTCTATAAAGGTGGGTGTAATCTCAAAGAACCGTTCGTTCAATCAATGTATATTGCTCATGCAGATTTTGGATTATATGAACCTGAAGAAATGGCTTGATTGCAAAGTAAGTCTTTTGTTTGTTTTTTTACAGATTTTGTCATGGTAACGTATACATGAACATCATGTCCGTCGTGATGAACATACGTGGTGTATTCCCGTACAAACTCAGCGAATAAAATTCACCTTTTAAAGGGGTATTTCGGCTGTTTGGCAGTCATGTGTTTTACTAAAGCCACATAGAGTCTACGTTATTTATCTATTGACCGTTGCTTATGATTATCAAAATGGCAGTAGGAATTATCGCAAGACACCGTATCAGTTTCAGAGAAGGCATAGTAATTATATCAAGCTCTAGCTGTCGGTTTGAAATTAGCGCCCGACTGTGAATTATACACGTAGTCCCCCTTTAATAACAAAGGAAAATATAAAGGAAACAAAGAATCGTAATTTACCTTTAACTCGTTATCTAAAGTAAGAACCAGGTAAAACATCACGTCTTAATAAGGTCATTACGTCACCGTATTCACCAAGGGGTGGACTTTATTGTTTTTGTATCATAACCTTTAATAAGTGAGTGCTGTTTACCAACAATGACATTATAAATGTAATGTTGATAAATTGTAACATTTTTGGATTTTAAGGGACAGGCGGTTAAATTTTCTGTTCTAGGGTATATTTTTGAAATAATAGCAATTCTCGTGAAAACATTTTTTAAAAGAATATTACCACTCGTTTCACAACAGCAGGATGTGCATACTACATTATTTTTTGTCATTGATGGAACTCTCATCCCAACCTACCTCCTTCATAACAGGAATATAAAATGAGTGAACTTGACTTTTCTAATTTAACAAATACTGAAAACTCAGCGTTTGCTATGTCTTCACCCAGTCAATATCGTGTCTGTTTCTACTTCAGTAAACGATCGGTTCAAAGAACCCTGATACCAACTCCTTTCTGCGCAGTCTCAGAAGTCAACTTGCCTCCCACCTCTCCTGGACCGGAAACAGTTCAGAGAGGTAAGAGTTATCTCCCGTGACGGAAGGTTGCTGAAGTCTTTACCACCACAGTAGAGGTCACATCGTTACATGTAGACATAGAGTAAATGGTCCACGTGTTCAACATGATGTAAAGTGTATTACAACTGATTCAGCATGGGCGTTAAGATCAAGCCTTGACTTTTATCATGTGTTTGGGTACACAAACTGCTCAGTCATCCCTGTGAACAGTTGCGTCCCTTTGTCGTGCAAGATCCTAGGACCATTAGTTGATATACAAAGGTTTTTTTCTGATATGGATCAGCACAATACCAGTGTAAGTTCACGAAAGGGGCATGCAGCAGTTCGGGCTCTTCTTTCATTGAGCTGACATTCACTGATTTAACCTAAACATTGTTCAAAGCAGTGTGTGAAAAAAAGGACGCGCATCGGTTTAATGTAGTGTGTGTTCTATGTCATCTCAAGGCTACAGCAGCTGCACCTCCCATTCTTTCAATTCATCACGTCAACAACAGATAAAATTTCATCTGGAATCTGTCCAAACTGATTCGGTAGGGTGTAGAAGGCAATACAGTGATGAGTCACTGAAAGTCATTGATGACGGCAGGTGTTTGTTCTTCCGGCTGCCCAACATGATGTATTATTATGAGGTTTGTATGTGTGCGTGGAAATTAATGAAGTTCTAGCATGGTATGGTATCGCTCTTGTCTCTTACTGTCCACACAGTCCATCAATTGGAGTCAAGGGCTGACAGTGGTCTAAGGCGTCGCAAGTCGTTGTACAGAGTTGCGTCCATTAGGGATCCAAGAAACTATAACAGCGGGTTCTAGTCCTGGATCCCCGCAATTATGTTTCTGGGTTTGTCTGCACTAAACCCGTGCTCGTCTGCGTCCCGAAAATGACAAGCCTCTGAGAGCTGTGCCACTACCGGTTTTCTTCCCACCTTAAGCAGACACACTCAATAACTTAGATGTTCTCAAAGCGGCGCTTAACCCATCCTCTCTGACTTCCATGGACCCGTGAAGATCCGGGTTAGAATTGATCTTCACTAACCCATGCTTGTCGTAAGAGGCGACTTACAGGTCAGGCTCGCTGACTTGGTTGACACATGTCATCGTATCCCAATTGCGTAGGTCGATGTTCATGCTGTTGATCCCTGGATTGTCTGGTCCAGACTCGATTATTTACAGACCGGCGCTATATAGCTGGAATGTTGCTGAGGGCGGCGTAAAACTAAACGCACTCACTCACTCTGACTCCCATGTAGTTGAAGTTCTGTGATCAATCTTTGGTCGAAAGATGCATATGTATTGTGTAAGTGTGTACCAGCTGGACCACAGAAGAGAATCACTTTTCCCCATTCCCGCTACTAAAGTATTCACGACCCAAAATTGTCAGATTAACATACCCAGGTATGTGCTATTGTTTGGTTAAAGATGTCAATCATTTTCTATATCTATCAGTACACGTTTTCCGTCTATGTTTTGCTTTCATCCTATAAAATGTAAATGGAAACGGTAATAATCAAGAAAGTGTAACACAGTTTCATGTAAGTCTGATCCCAAATATAACATGCTACATTTGACCACTTTCTAAAAGCATTGTTTCTTCGTACTCATGTGTGTTCTTTTTTACGGAATCGACAGTGGAGCTGTTACATTACCAGTAAACGCAGTGACCTCTTGGCAACCTTTGCTAACAAAACACACATGCCTAATGTTGGTCTACATCTCTTTAACCAAGCAGTGTCAAATTAGTTATCCATCTACTTCATCTTAAAAAAGGGAGTTGAGTTAAAAGCTACTTTGAACAGTATTCCATATATATCAGTGTATGTCAGATAAACGTTGGGAAATTGATACAGGTTGTAGACATTTACAACTTTGGTGAAAGCCACGGTATGGTGTAAAGTGATGGCAAACTTAAAAGAAACAGTGCAAAAAACCAAGGTACGCTCATGGGATTCTGGCGTGCCCAAGGGGCGTAACTCTGCACTGCGAATGACGGCGCTTTGTCAGACGCGGCGATTCGTGCCCCAAACTAAAGCTCAATTATTCACAAAATGCTTAAACAGTGTGAAGCCAACTGCATGTACTGTCCACTCTACTACATTGCTCAATATTGCTGAAAGCGTCGTAAAACATTATTGAAACTTTCAGTCTCCCTGATACATAAGAAATCACATAGACCCCTGTCAGCATCGTAAGTCTCTGTTAAAGTGTTGACGTTACAAATGTCACGGGACTTAAATTCCTTTGTGAAACCGGACCCCACTGAGCACCTGGTACACAAGCTGGAGTGCATGAAAGGACACACACTACTAAAACACAAGCCGAGCTCGCCTTTGTCAATGGAAGAAAATCAGCTGGGGATAAATGCATTAGAATTGACAGGCGGAGTGTGTTGGGTTCGTGGTTCGATATTGCCCGCACACCCACTGTCTAAGGCTATTTTTGTAGTGCAGCATCTGCCCATCAACATTTTCCTCAAGTCAGCACTTTTACCTTTATCACCGTCTGACCTAGATACACTAATAAATATATAATACAATTGAATAGAGACTAAAAAGTGATAAGCACATTTATCAACACGTTGTGGTTCGGATACAGTAATCTGATTAGATAACTGATAAAATCCCCTTGCTGATTGAATAAAACCTCATTTAAAAGAAACCTGATTCACTTAGTCCGGCAATAACCTTTCTGACCTAAGCCCAATATTGAAACCCAATTTAGGGCATCTTTACACGTCTTCGACTTTCTGTTGACGTGTTTATTTAAACCTGATTTGAACTAAAGATTGAAACGAATACCAAACAAGGAAACTAGATGGAGGGTTAAAATACTATTATTGATATTTATAAAGATCCTCTTTTTTTTCTTTCAGAGGTGGATAACGATCCCTGAAGATACTGTTCATGCCTTATTCAGAATGGTGCTATATTTCTTCAACCAAAGAAACAGTGCTTTTGTTGAAAGACGCAGAAAACAAGACTGGTTAACTTGTGTTCTTTGTGATTTCAATTCTTGCGGGCTTGTGTTATATCCTGTGTGTTTGTCTGCTTGACACAGGCGTAGGCCATGTGTGAAAGTAGAGCATGTGTGATTACAGACTATGTGTGAATAGACCATGTGTGACTACTGCACATCTCTTGTGGCCAACTTCTGAGATTATCATACGGCGTCTTCTTCAACAACAACTCCATCGAAACATAATGGTCTAACAACGGCTCTTCTGTTGTAGCCAACTTCTAAGATTACCATGCGTCCTCTTCATCAACAACAACTCCATCTAAACATAAGGAAGAGACTACTGCACATCTGTTGTGGTCAACGTCTGAGATTTCTATACGGCGTCTTCTTCAACAACGGCTCCAACCAAACATAAGACTCTTACTACGGCTCTTTTCTTGTGGCCAACTTCTGAGATTATCATACGGCAACTTCATCAACAACAGTTCCAACTAAATATAAAGAAGAGACTACTGTACTTCTGTTGTGGCCAACTTCTGAGATTATCATACGGCGTCTTCATCAACAACGGCTCCAACTAAACATGATCCAACTACTGCTCCAACTACAGTTTCCATGTTCATCTCCATCGTCATCAACAACGGCTCCAACTAAACATAAGGATCCAACTACTGCTCCAACTCTAGTTCCATGTTCATCTCCATCTGTTTCAATTGTCCGGCTACTGTTAGTAGACAAACATACACTCTACAGTTAATTCAGGTAAGGTCACTGTTAAAACGTTGCTACATTAACATAATCAACGCCAACTTTTCTCAATACGCTTTTTTAAGGTCTAGCCACTGAAGTACACCACCCATGGATGCACTTTTGAAAATGCTAAACAAACTGGTAAATATTTGTAAGAATCAATTATTTCCTCACTGGAACCTGTTCTGTTGTGTAAGATGTGAACGTGGGCAAACATTCGATTTATCGATTGAAACTATTTGGCATCATATGAATTTATCTATCATTCAAATCAATAAATAGGGGTCTTTTCTTTTGTCTGATTACAGGAATCTAATAGTTACGACCAAAATTTCTACAAATATAAATATGTTTGTTGTTTTACGTTATTACGTTGTTATCTATGAGCGAATCTTTGTACTCATGAAGGTCCTATGATTTATAAGTTTGCTCATATGTAACTGGTATGCATATGCATACATTATTTCCAAAAGAGAATGACATTTTCATAAATACACTTGCAATGGGTATGATACCGGACGGCAAACGAGTCAATGGTTGCTTTGTTATGGCCACTTATCATAAGAATCTTACCATGGATTGATATGACATAAAACAGAGATGAGGGACTACTTAAATGTAGCACAATGTATTGTTCATCAAACCATTCCCAAATAACGATTCTTTAACGTGCTGACCAGTCTAGTAACAGTATGTGTTCGTAATCTCAAAAAGTCCCCGAAGCGCGAAAAGATTATTTTGTTTCATCACAGGCGATAAAAAATTCTTTGAATTCGAATGTAAGTTCAAAGGCATCAAAGAATATTCAGTTGATGAAACGGTTTCCGCGTTTAGCAGCTACTGGTAGAATTAATCATTTACAGAATCAGAATGCCTATTTGAAGCAATATGGCGTATCGTAATTAGTAACAAGGAACAAAATGAATTCAGGTCAATGTTCAATCTGAATCTCCATTTCATTGGCAAACATGTTTTTTCACTATTCCTCCCGTTTTGCCCAACATCAAAAGAACAGACCCCTTCATGGAACATGTTCTGTATGCCTTTCTTTTCAAAAGTCCGACTTTCAACTTTCTTGTAGATTAGGATCAATTTGCAGTCTCATGTCCTATGTTAGCTGATGTCGGTCTGGGGCAATTGATTGCCCTTAGACAAAGGAATGAAAGGGGTGTACAAATAGATCAATTTTTCTCGAGAAGGTAGAGTACCTTTTTGGTAAGCATGGACATCAAAGAATGTACTCCTTGAACAAGAAATATTCGCTGTGCTTGCAGATATCGAGAGGCATTACAGGGAGGGTTACCTCTTCTTGTATCAAGGACAATAAAGGACAATAGTCGTGATGCTATGTCTGAATTGGAAGACCTGACATTGGCACATTAATGGTAGACGTACCATCACGAAGCTAATGGATGACGGAGTCCAATACAAGGCGGACGATCCACTGTTGGGGGAACCCAGCCCATTTGTGTTTACTATGAAGCGTTTGAATCGCCGAACAAACAACGATGAGTGTGTGTGATTGTGGAAGTGGAGTAGAAGGTCTTCCTGAGTTGCTGATGCTGGTACTGTTAGACTGGTTGGCTGCGGAGGAAGGGGACTGAAGGAGATATGTCAACACCATGCAGTGGTTGATGCACAGGAAGCCAGAGAGTATCGAGGACGCTCAATGCTATATGTATTGCTCTTGTGTAGAAGAACGTTCTCTTGAGCGTGTTGTATATGGCTGCGTTGTCTGTAAACACGGCCTAAGTGGATGAGATGCATTAGTCAATCCCACACAATCAGGAGACAATGTAACAAGCATCTCTTCTCTGATCACTTGTCATGTTGTAAGTGTATACTGTAGCTTAGCACACAGATAATGGAACGTATCGATAAAAACGGGAAGGGATGAAGTGAGCTGTTTAAAGAAGGTCTGTTAGCTTTAAGCACTTCAAAGGAAAAATAAACCGTACAAAGCGAAACCTTGTTAATCGAGACGGAAGCATTCCCAGTGAAACGTCCGGATTAACGAGAGGCTATATTCTTTGTGTACACAGACGTTCAGTACAGTAAAGGGGCAGTGGGGTAGCCTAGTGGGTAAGGCGTTCGCTCGTCACGCTGAAGACAAGGGTTCGATTCCCAACATGCGTACAATGTGTGAAGCCCATTTCTGGTGATATTGATGGAATATTGCTAAAAGCGGCGTAAAACCCAACTCACTCACTCACTCATTACAGTAAAATTCAAAGTGGCTATTAGAAGGATAAGGAGTAGTGAAGGAAAGCCACACTCACTATCCTTGTCATCTTTATGTCTTCTGTGTCATTACTTGTCATATAACCACTATCTCACGTGATTTTCCAATACAATCCTGTTAACCCGGACGTCACAATCATTAGCACAGTCGGCTTCATTTACAATCATGGATGTGTTTTGATGTCTCTTTAATTATATACTGATCTCTCCAACATTAATCTTTCGGATAAATGAATTTTGAAACTTTAAAAGTCCGGATAAACGGTGATGTTAAAGCCATTTCATTGATGGGAACCGTTAAACAATGCGTCTGCGCAGGAAATAGAAATATCATAATACTGCTTAAAGCACATTAAGATCCACGTTACAGTTTTAAAAAATGTGATTAGGTTTTTCAATATTGTTCATCATGCAGTAAAAAATATCATTTCATTATATTAATTCTATTTTTCAATTCAGTTCTATCCCGGTGAAATTGAAAACAAATCTTAGCGTCCCCGTGTGGCGATCACATAGCTCTAGCACATAAAGCATGACAGGCAGAAATGGCCTAGTTTTGATTAGCCTATTTCATAGCAATATTGCATCGCTCGTGTCCGCCCAGTAATAACCCTTTACTATCCAGAGTAGTTTCTATCTATGAGTCGAGATTGAATGGTCAGACAATACAGCTCCTTGCACCATTAGCCCTTTCATTCATGCATCCATCGAGACCAAAACCTCATTATGTGTAGAGCGTGTGGATTTATCGGCATATTAATAGCCAGACAAAATTAGAGGTACATGCATTGGTTGTGTTTGCTGGCGATGTTTGAAGACCTGGTAATGGGACAGCTAATAGTACCCATCAATGCTTCAGTAGTCTTCATCGTGTCCTTGAAGTTAGGAGAGTCAGACAGTCTGCCGATGTAGACCAGTATTAATAGCGTGTCCTGAAAATGATGACAATGTCACATGGTTGGTTACAAGAGAAGGACATCTTGTACACTGTCTGGTGCAAATGGTAGGAAAGTGATTCACCGCGCGACAGGCCGTAATAGCGGAGGTTTCATGGTTGTCTTATGATTGTATTACAAACAGTAAGAGTTTAACAGGGAGGGTGGTCATAAGGGTTCCAGACAGGCCTCGGGGAATCATTTACCATTCCTGTTAGTAATATCTCAAGCTTTTCCAGCGTTGCGTTTTGCAGCAAACATTTTTCACATATTATTTCAATGTTAAAATGAAAATATTGCCCCTTGTATTCGACTTTGATTATTGTATGATATTACTCCGAATCTTTCGAGTCTAGACTATGGCAAATTATTTGTTTGTGTATGTAATGAAGGTATGGGTAAGTAGATGGATGTGGTGTGTTTGTGTTTTTATATGTCTGGAAGAATCGGTTTTTTAGGAAAAGGTTTTCATCGTGAACATGCTCTCAAGAATCCTATCACATAATTAAGAAAGATAACGGTTTATTATAGAAATATATAAAACACGACGCAATCGATCAGATTTTATCATATTTCAATGGTTATTTCGTTAGGACATGACTGGCAGATTGATTATAGAATACACAAGACTGATGACAGGTTAATTATGGAAATACACAAGACTGATGACAGATTAATTATGGAAATATTCACTTCTTTCATGTAGTATAAGGATGGAAACACAGGAAAATGTAGGCTGATGACCTGGCCCTTCTTTTCGGAAACAATGTTAATAATATCGTTGAACAACGGTTATCGTTTTTTAAAATTTGTTGTTACGTTGTTTAGATATATCCACCAGCGATGACAGATTAGCTACAGAGGGCCGATGATTTTAAAAATTGATGTTAGTTCATTCATAGACTATTGAATTTTCGGAATTTAAGTGGAACAACCTTTTAATTTGTTGGTACCTTGTGTTGATGTGGTTGACATGATAACACCATTGTGTGCATGTGGCAACGTGACGTCACACACCGCTCCCATGATTACCGTTACATTCTGGACCATTAAATCAATTAGGATTTGGCTTTCAGTGAATGTGTGAAGGATACTTCATTGCCTTGTAAATGTTTGGGTTGGAAAATACATACAAGGTGTATAACTGTCAGTGTAAGGAATAATAACCTAGGTATGACTTTCCAAGGGAAGAATTTTCCAGGGGAAATGAATCCTCTGTTACAAATGTACCAATCACCAAAAAAGGTGACCATGGCGTCACTATAAAGTAATGAGATTTGTGACTTGATTGTCCAAGACTGTGTTTAAAGATTTCTATATATTTCTTTTTTGGGTCCTTCGAAAGATACATTATAAGACCGAATATCGAGGAAAGGTGCATGTGTGTATATTTTGAAAGGTTTGTAAAATAGATACACAATGGGTGGAGTGTGTGAAAAGAATAGCTTTTAATGTTATCGTGTAGGCATTTATGTCGTTTTGTTTGTAAGAGTTAAGAGGATGGAAGGGGTTGCTATGCAACGTGAGACTGAGTGTTCCCGACATCAATCATTGGTTCCTCAGCACAATAGTCAATCCCCATGCTTATATGCCTGCATGGAGTTGTTTGTCGAGCTTGGCGCGGCGCTCGCGGCGTATGGTATATATAAATCTGTGTTATATAAATGTAAAACACAACTCCTTTTTTAGTTTAAAACT